AAAACACGTATTGACAAAATACGTTTTCGTAACAATATTTTTTAGTAAAACGTATTCCTTGAATACGTGTTTAAATTAAATTTATTTAATTATTTAAAAAATATATTGACGAAAATTGTATATCCAATTTTATTTTAAAACCGTATTTAAGGAACACGTTTTCTTGAAAACCCTAAATCAATTTGAAATCCTAAAGCCTTAAATTAATTTTAAACCCTAATTCAATTTACTATAATTAAATTTGCGTAAAACGTATAATGGAAATAAGTTTTATAAACACCCTAAATCAATTTAGGGTTTATAAAACGTACTTTATTAATACGGTTTTTACCATTAATTAATTTTTAAGAAAAATTTAAATTAAAATAAAACGTATAATAGAAATATGTTTTCTAATGTAATAAAAAAAGAACACGTATTTGCAAAATACGGTTTTTAACAAAATATAAGTACGAAAAAATCTTCTCCTCCACCACTCTCTGCGCGAACAAACAGCAAGAAGAAAAAAAAAATCTCACTTCCATCCTTTTCTTCACCTGAAAATTAAAAAAAAAAGTTTTTAACACTCAATCGATTCGGATAAGAGGTTAATTGTTATTTTAATGTAATGTAATTACATTTTTTTGTTGTTTATGAATGTGTAAGAAATATTTGTGGTTTTGATGAGTATAGTTTAGAAAAGATTTATTGTTGATTTAATAGTTGTGTTAAATGATTATACATTGTTGTTGGATGATGGGTTTCGGTGTATGTTGATAATTTTTGCGAAAATTGGATGATTTGTATTGTATGGTTGGATTATGAGAATTAGAGTTTTGGAGAGTTATTTTATAAAAGAGTTGGTGATTTTTTTTTTTTTGTTATTGTAGTATTAATTGGAAATATTTATCTTGATTTGAGTAAAAGAACAATTGAATTTTTTGGGAAATTATGTGTTGTTGTAATTGGGAAGAATTGAAAGTGTATTATATGTTATAGATGAATTTTATTTTTTGGTTGTGGGAATGATAAAAGAATAATTGAATTTTTTGGGTGTTAGGTTAGAAAGTATGTGTTGTTGTAATTAGGAAGAATTGTTTTTTGCAACAGGTATAAATGTCGTCTACCGGATCATACTTTGTTAATGTGTATTGGAATCATCCCAAGGAGTTGTTATATTATTTTTCAAGTTTTAAAAACTCTCCGGATGGTTCATTTAGCATTGGGGAGAATATATCATTGGAACAATTGGTAGATATTCTTTATGAAAATTTTGGGTTTCGTCGAGATGGTTGGATAATTGAGGAGATTAGTTTACTGACTAACCAACCCGATGGTTCGTGGAATATTGGAAACCTGAATACTGATAGTGCTCTTCAGTGGATATATAATTTTCCTCCTTTCTCCTATGTGTATTTGCATTTAGAGTTGAAGCAGGTTACGCAGGCACCTACAGAGGTTACGCAGTTTGAGGATGTTGCCCTTTTTTACTGGGGAGTGGCTGATGTTGAGGGTACGTCCACTTCGCATGTTTGTAATTTTGGGGAAGGCACAAGCTCAACAGTTAGAGAATGCGATAATGAGGAAGAAAGTGATGATGATTTCATTCGCTGTGAAGACGATTTCACAGATGGTACCTCGAAAACGGAATCGGATAGATCAATAAACGAGGAGAGTGAACCATAATTTATTGAAGAACACCCATTTCCTAGTAGCGGTCAACACGTGTATCGCGAGATGGGTGAGTGGGACCCGTCGTGTGTAGATCGGGACGAGCATGCTCTGCTACGTTGGAATGGAAATATTGAGACTATCTGTTTGGGTACTGTTTTTCGGTCCAAGGAAGAAGCACAGATGGGTATCATGAGTTGGACCATTAGTAGGTTGAGGGAGGTTAAGACAACCTATTCGAATAAGAAATCATTCAAGGTGGTGTGCACATCTAACGAAGATCAACCTTGTCCGTGGAGGGCTCGGGTGACGCACTGCACACGGGTTCATGAATTGTGGAAAGTAACGGAATGGACTGAGAGGCACAGTTGTATGCAAGAAGTCGAAAAAAATGACCACAGAATTGTAACCGCCACAATGATCTCAAATCTTGTCATGACCAAGATTAAAAAGAAACCCGACTACAGTGTTACCCTGATCCAGGAGGATGTTAAAAAATGTTGGAAAGTCGATGTGAGCTACAAGAAGGCATGACACGGGAGGAAAAAGACCATCGATCGTTTGTATGGCACTTGGGAATCGAACTTCGCACAACTCCCTCAGTAAGAAAAAATTTATTAAAAATGTATGTGTTATTTGTTACTATGTTTATGTATTGACGATTACGTTTTGTAACGTGCAGGTTTTTTGCGGCGCTTCAAAGAGCGAATCCCACTACAGTTGTAGAGTGGGAATGACAGGGTGGGGAAATGGCGGCCCACTATCAGCACAGAGAATTCATATTTGTTTTCTGGGCGTTTGGCGCCATTCAGACCTTCCAGACATGCCCGCCGGTAATTAGCATGGATGGCACACATTTGCATGGCTCGTACAAGGGGAAGTTGCTTGTGGCCGTTGCACAGACTGCGAATAAGCGGCTATTGCCAATCGCCTATGCGATTGTGGATGAAGAGAGTCGGGAAAGCTGGTCATTTTTCCTGACAAATCTCCGGCAACATGTTGTCAGTGACAGACAAATATGCTTTCTTTTGGACAGGGATGCGGACTTACAGAGTGCCGTGGAATCATTGGAAGCTTGGCAAGAACCCGCTGCATATCACCGGATATATCTACGACACCTTCGGAGCAACGTGGTTACTAGGTTCAGGAATAAAAAAATCTAAAATTGGTGTTGGGAGTTGGGTTCACAGGTTTCAGAGAAAAAATTTGAACAGATACGATCGCGGCTTTCGGATTTTAATCCGGACGCATACGATTACCTGTTCGGAATTCCTATGGACAAGTGGACCCTGTTTAGAGACGGAGGACGTAGATGGGGTACTTTGACAAGCAACATGTCCGAGAGTTACAACAACGTCCTGAAAGGTGTTAGGTACTTGCCCTGCCGAGCTCTGGTACACGCCACATTCATGAAAACTCTGGACTTGTTTGAGCAGGAACAAAAGAAGTCCACGAGATGCAGTAATGTCATTGCTAATGCCCACTATGCCGCTTATTGCGAATTGGAGACTACGACTGCAACTCATAAGGTGCGATGTTCGAACGCGGAGAGATCCCTGTACAAGGTGACAACCGGTCTACGGGCTCATGGTAGAGGGGACAAAAGGTATATGGTTTATTTATTTATTGTATAATTTTTATTTTTTTTATTTTGGTTCATTAAAATTTTTAGTTGTTTATAAATATAATTAAATGTGGAAAAACAGGTATAAGGTTTCGTACGATCGGATGCGTTGTAGTTGTCTGAAGTGGCAGACACACAGAAAACCATGCTCTCATGCTATAGCTGTGTGTCGTGAAATAAAAGCTCCACCAAAGTTCTTGTACGATCCCCACTTTTGGACGGAGAACTGGGTGGCTCAATTTTCTGATTGGAGTTTTGCTCCGATTGGTAATCCAGACACATGGCCGCTGGTCGGATGGAACTTACTACCACATTGGGAGAGGATCATCACGAAGGCTGGACCCGGTCGCGCACAAATGAAGCGTCATCGCATGCAAATGGATCGTCGGGCACGCCGCTAGAATGATAGAGGATATTGTAGTAGATGTGGTAATCAAGAGCATTTTGTGGATGACTGTCCGTCCTCGCATCGTTGCACTGATAGATCTAGACTCCGTGATGAGTGGGGAAACTAGATTTATTAGTGTTTATTTTTTTTTTTTTTTTT